TGTTAGTTTAATCTTATTTTAACTTTAAAAATACTGTATTTTTTAAATATTTAATATTTTCTTAATTAATTAAGTACAATAAGAAAAATTATTAATTAATAATAAAACGATTTTATTATTTTTTCTCATTATACGATTTCATTACAATCGCGGAATCGAAAAAGGAAGCAAAACTGATTTTTGCATTAATGCGTTTATTGTTTTTTGAATATTTTGCCTGCGAAAATTACTTGGATATTATTTTTCTAAAAATATCGTGGAAATAAGGTAGGTTGATACAGAAACTATTTATCGCACGTGTACTGTATATGAGCTTCAAAATAAATAAATAAAAATAGATTTTATCAAACAATGAGATCAGCCGATTAATTGTATCGTGCACAATATTTTACATCCCCAAGGAAAATACTGTAGGTCTAGGGTAAAATAAATTTTGTTTTCCCACAGTTAAACTTCGCCGCTAATTGCTGTTGTGATAGCTTTAATACGATCTTCTAACAACAGCACTTTGCATTTCGAACATTTTCCAACAAACTGAAATGAATTTCCTTTGTTGCTAGACTAATTTATTAACACTTGCATCTAATTTCAAGGATGGGAGAAGTGCCCGGTTCGAACAAGAGTTTAGACTAATTCATTACATTAGGAGGTGGAAACATTGTTGAGATGGGTTCTTACAATAGTTTAGACCAGATACATTCGCAAAAGTGGTCGCTTATTACAGGTGTTATATGTTGTTTCAGACCAAAAATCGATGCCCGCGGTCACGTTACACAGGTGGTCGTTTAATACGGGTAACTCATACGAAGACTCTATGGATAAACTATTCCATGCCAGAAATTTTTGTCCGTTTTGACAGGTGCCCGTCGAATACAGGTGGTCACCTAAGCAGTTTTCATTGTATAAGTAATACAAAAATTTTGTATTACTTATATAATCTAACATCAGGTTTATGTTCAATTTTTGAATTAAACACACACTTATCGTAATGCCATTCTAAAACACTTGATTGGGTGTTCGGAATGGCATACATTGCCATTTGTATTTTCTGTAAAAACATCTGCTCCTCAACGAATTGTAAGAGTTATTTCGCAGCCTAATGTGACGGAAAAATGCAACAATAATTCTTGAGCTAATGCTTGTGGTCCATTAATAATTGTATATTAATTAACTATTCCATCAACAAGAAAATGTAAATAAAAAAAGCTATCTTCAGAAGAATTTTTTCAAAAAAATGTATGTAATTAATCAAAATTTTATTTTGCAAAACACATTCTTTCAGCATATAAAAGTTTTGATAAAATTAATAAAAAATTTTTTTATTAATTTTATTAATAAAAATA